TTAAGCACTACATTTTTAGAAAATATTCTTCCTGTCAGTTGATAAAATAAAGAATTGGAGTTGGTTTACTTTTCCAATATTATTTCATCAAAACTTACTTCATTTAGTCCTTCTTCTAGATGGAACGAGAAAAAATGGTAAAAAAACCTAGTTTTGAAACTGTTTAACTGTTTTAAAGATGTAATAATCCCTGCTCTTAATAGCAGGAAGAAGTTCTGCTCTGAAACTGACTTTTTGCTTTATATCCTTTTAAAAATATTTTGGTTTAAGGTGGTATGATAATTTGAGAGTCTGGTTGAATTGTCTCTTGCTTTTTTGTGTGTGTATAAGGTTATGTTTACATAAATATGTATTTACTTCTACATATATAAAATAGGAAATATGTTAAAATTAATTTTAATTACAAATAGAGGGTAAAATAGCCTAGTCTTATTTGCTTTTGCACAGATTCCCCCAGCAAATGGCCAAGCCGCAGCAGTTCAGGCACTCCCTACGGACTGGGTTATATATGATGAAATGACAAGAGCTCACAGGATAGCAAATATCAGATGCTGTTCTGTTGTAACACCTGTCACTGTGTCACTCTTCTGTGGACCAGCTAGACTACCAAGCAATGCTTTGCAGGAACCTTCATCCTTTCGAGGTATAGTGGAGTTTGGATTTGGAATGTTTCTATTAGTATATACAAGTATGTGGTATGGAAGGATTATTTTTCAAGAATCTTTAATACGTATATTGGCTAATTCTTAAAATGGCAGGGCTATAGTTCCTGTAGTTCTTCAAGAATAGTTTTTAGGCTCAGAATAAATGTCGCAGTTCTGTGAATCCCTACAGATTCATACCCATAAATTACACTTGCCTTGTTCTGAAGTCTCAGAAATTACGGTATAGTTTGTAATGAAATAAAAAATGCAAACAAAATGTCTAATGACAATACTAATGCTGAAAAGTGTAGTATGTATGTTTTTTCTACAGCCTAGTTTATTTGATACTTTGAACCAGATTATTCAAACTCAATAATAATTTAGAAAATATCAGTATAGCAAATACTAATATTGCTTCCAGCTGAAACATGCACTTTAAAGATTATTTTCTACTAATAACTTTTAATGACAGCTAGCTCTATTATTAACTAGAAGTAATAGGGAACATACAGAAATTTCCGTTTATTTCAATGGAGCACTGTAGGAATAGGAGCAAAAATAATCTGTCCTGCTACCAGTTCTTTAGAAAATAAAAAGTGTTTTTACAAATGTTTACATTTTAAAATAAAGTTTAGAAGGAAAACGGGTTTATTGCTGGTGATACAGTAGTGTTTGTTTGCATGCAAGTGGAAATAATATAGAAATGTTGATGCACTTTTTATATTTAATTCAGGGGATGGGGTATCTAGTGATAATAGTGACAGTGAGATGGAGGACGAAGCAACTGCTAATTTGGCACTGCTGAAGCTAGATGAATGGCTCCATCTCAGACTGGACCCTGAAGTAAGTAATGTAGCACTTCAATGCTCTTTCCTGTAGAAGGATATTTATGTCCTATCTTCCTACAAGGATTTCTGAAACACTTGGGTAACAAAGAATTTTCTGTGCGAATGGCTGTCACGGTCTGTTTGGGTGTCTCAAATTTACAGGGTAATGTACTCTGTGATCTGACCTTTATTTCACGAACTCATTAAGAAATACAACACACAAACAGGGGCTCAATGCTCTTTTTGCCCAGACTAGTCTGTCACGTGAATTCACTTATTCAACATTCAAGTCGTAAGTTGCGTTTCATAACTTTTAACCTGTAACTCTCAATTCGTGCACCTGTGAGCAAAAAGAAAAAAAGAATTAGTTACCCAGCCAATGGTGAGAGTGCTCATCCTCCTTCCTTCGTTACGGTGTGGGTGTCCCCTGTATCACAGCAGGAAGCAGAAAAGCCTCAGCAGTCTAACTGCTGTTGAATCTACTTCAAAAGCTTTTTGCGTAAGCTGTGTTTTATACCTTCCAGCTTAGAGGTTTGGTCCATTTCCATAAGTTAGCATATTCTGGGGAAACTGCCAGACAAAAGATAATGGCTGCAGGAGACAACAAGCTGCAGGTGCTAGTGGCTGCAAAATGGTCCTTCAGCTCTTTCTGGCCACGTCTCCTGCCTACGTGGTCCTCTCGCTTTGACCTGCTCCCAGCACGCATCAAGCCTTAGCATGAGCTGGGTTAGCCAAAATCTAACCAGGAATTGAGTGAACAGTCACGATGGCATATTGTGTATTTACTTCTCTGGGAGGTTGACTAAAGTTGGATCAAAATGGGCCATTTGAAATTAGACCTGCTGAAAGAAAGTTACTGTCAGATTTTAGAAAAAGGAAAAAAGAACACAAACTTTTGAAGATGTAAGTCTTCAGGTCATTGAGAAGCTCTGGCTGTAGTAGGAGGTAGAGTAGTTCATGGGTTATGAAACACTTGGACTCATCAGATCTAATAACAATACTGTCTCTTCTAGAGACATACAGAAGAGTGATTTTTTTTAAAATTTTTTTTTAAATGGAAGCATTTCCGATAACATGGGAATTAGACTATAGTTTTCTAAATTCAGTCATCTTGTTTGAGCAGAAGTCTGTGTAGGAAAAATATGTCACTTAGAGCTCTTTTCCCTCAGGTATGAATGAAGAGTGTGTTAAATACAGACTGAATCGAGAGGAAAGGCATAAAGGAGGAAAAGATTTTTTGGTTAAAAAGATAAAATTTTGAAGCAAAAAAAAAATAATAATACTGTTAACCCAGAGAATTTTAAGTTTGATGCAGAGCTAAATGAAATAAAGTATTTTAAAAATCATCTTGCACTTGAGGAAAGAAAAGATAACAACTTCATTTGTATGTGGGGTTTTCTCCCTTCCCAGCACTTTTAGTCTTGCCTTTCAGTTTGGACACTCTCATTTTAGAATGCCAGATGCTGCCTGACAGAAAAGACGTACGGTACCCTTACCTGTCTGATCTAATTCTTATTAGTGTTTAACAGAATTCAAATTCATTATAGGCTGCTTGTTTGCTGTTGCAACTCAGACAGAAGTGGCATAGCTTATTTCTGCGTCGTATGCGAGCTCCTTCTAAACCATGGTCTCAAGTTGATGAAACAACTCTAAGAGCAATTATAGCTGTTTTAAGTACTGAAGAACAGTCTGCAGGCTTGCAGCAGCCCTCAGGAATTGGTCAGAGACCAAGACCAATGACTTCTGAAGAACTTCCTTTAGCATCTACATGGAGGTCAACCAACAGTAGAAAAAGCTCAGCAGAAACTGAATTCTCTGATGACTCTTCTAATGCTGAAAAGTAAGCTTTTGAGATCTTCTAGAGAACGTAGGTTGTAGTTTATTTAGCTATAAAAGTGTCGCTTGAATTTCTGCTAGTAATAAAAAGGAAGAAACAATGGAAGTACAGTTGAAATAATTGGTACTGTCCTATGCTGCATTGTAGTTGTGGTTTCACTGAGAAGTGTTCCTGCTGTTTGAGAGAGTAGTCGGGAATATTGTCCCTGAATTGTGATCTCTGGGAAGAAAGGGTAGAAGATGTTTATCCCTAGCGTTCAAAAACAACTGGTGATCAGGTGTTTTTTTAGTTAGTGTTTAATATGTTTTGGAGTTCCTGTAATATGTTTAGTCAAGCAATAGGCTGATACGAAGATACAAATGGTTCTGTGACTGCTTATGAAAATTCTGGTATGTCTTCCACCTACCTTTACTTTTTAGAGTTTTAATGAAATCTACGCCTCCTGCACTTCACCAGTCGAAGAAGTACAAAGAAAAAAACATTTTGCACTCCGAACGAACTTCAGATGACAGATCAGATCAATCATCGGTGAAGTCTACAGACAGCAGTAGCTATCCTAGCCCCTGTGCTAGTTCTTCTCCAATATCTGGAAAGGTAAAGTTCTCATAAACTAATTACTCCACTCTTTAAAATTAAGAGAATTTCAGAGATATATTTGCTAGTATCTTTCAGCAACTATCAGGTATTATACTGATAAATTAAGAACCTAACTTAGATTTTCATTTTTAACAGCTGCATAATACTTACTTCTTTCTGGACCTTAAAATCTAGCCTAAATATCCTTGTTATGCTAGTTTAATACAGTAAAAATATTACTCTTTGCAAACTGCTGAGGTAAAGCTATCCAAAGTAGAAAAAAATTCGATTTTTTTTTTTTTTTTAACTTTATTATAATAACCAGTGATGGTGTTTTTTTTTAGTGAAGGTGTATTTTTTTTTTTTATTCCTAAATTAGTATACAGTACATGCACTTCTGAATTCTTTGGATTCTGCCTTCCTCTGTTTCTGTAATAGCATACATTGATGCCAATTCTCTTTAAGTTTTGTGTTATCTGCCTTATTATGACTACTTGCTTTCTTTATGATGGTTATTTTAACAAAGCACACATTTTTAAATAGGTTATTGGCATAATTCTCCCTAGGTGCTTGACTAGTAAACTGCAGTAATGTTAAACAGATCACTGAGAGGAAAACCCATTGTTCCTTTGGGCAGGGACTCACTGGAGGATTTAATAATTCCTCTTAAGTTTTTCAGTTTTTAAATTCAGCCAATGTAAAAGGCAGAAAACTTGCGTTTCCTGAATCTGGAAATGTGAGTAGTGTGCTTCAGGCAAGAGTCTGGAATGATTAATTTTGTGTCATCTGAAGTTGTGTCAGACTTCAAAGAATTGTAATTAATCACTAGACTATTTAGGCCTGTTCTGCTATACTTGTTTGCTGCCCCTCATGAATGAACTTCTATTTTGTAAAGTGCTTAAAAATGTAAAATAGATGTGAAATACATTTTAAAACAGATTCAGAAAGTACCGGCTGATGGATTCTGCATTTCTTTTAGAATCCGGGGGGGGGAGGGAGGAGCGCAGTCAAGGGATTTCTGTCTTCATGTGTTTAAAACTTTAGAACTACAGCTTGGTTTATTTTATTGTAACTTAATTCAATTTAATTTTTCCAGGGTTCCAAATCTCCTTCACCAAGGCCAAATATGCCAGTTCGATACTTTATCGTGAAAAGTAACAACTTGCACAACATTGATATTTCTCAACAGAAGGGTATATGGTCTACTACACCAAGTAATGAACAAAAACTAAATAGAGCCTTTTGGGAGAGCAGGACGGTTTACTTAATATTTTCTGTTCAAGGGTCTGGGCACTTCCAGGTGAGTCCTTAGTTAATACTAAGCATTAGCTTTGGTTGGTGCTTTAGGAGAGCATAGCAAATGATTGTGTTGTATGGAGATTTTTGCTTATGACTTTTGACCTTGAATTAAGTAGAGTAGGAAGCTCATGTACCTGGTTGCTGAGGAAAGAGTACTTTGTTCTCTGAAATACGCCCTTTTAGCTAACTCAGTTTGTCACTCAGAGGCTAAGACTGAATTGCTTTCAAACATCTTGAGTGAGAATAATGTTTATACCCTACGTTAATCCTTCAAAACAAGAACAACAAAACAAACAAACAAATCTAAACAAAGCAGGGGACTTCTCTTTTCTCTGCATGCCAAATAAATATTGTAAGAGAACAAGCAGTTATAATCAAGTCACAGCTTTCTAAAGCCAAGAAAGTCACAGATGTCTTTGTTACAAATTTTAATAAAATCTCTTTTACCTGAACTGTAGTTTCTAAAAGTTAGGAAGCTGGAAAGTCATGACCATGATTCTTCCAGAGCTGTGTCTTGACTTCAAGTTTAGCAAGGTATTTGTCAATAATTTGGTGACAAATTTGTAGCCAATCTGAAGTTAAAGACTTTATCTGGTAGTGCAAAGTTGCAGGTTAGGTGTGTTCTAGGGAGGGCTGAACTCAATTGCTCCAGGTAAAGAAAGTTCAACCTACGTCTTTATACATAAACTATTCATAAAAGTCAGCTAAACCTAAAATCAAATGAATTAGCCCAAATACAGCTGTCTTGGTCATGCCAGTGAAGGATTATGTTGAGATACACATATGATGGTTTGGCAAATGCAGATGTAATATTGGGAAGTAATTTTCAGCATGCCAGCTGATACTGAAAATGGGCCGTTGTATGGTGGTCTTGGACAAGGAAGCTAGGACGGGAAGACATGCTGAAATCAGGAGCATAGGTGGTTGGGTGTTGCCTTGCCCTTCCAGTTTCTACAATGCACTGGATATTCATGGGAATGCAAGATTAACATTCCTGTTAATAGTCTCTTGTGCCAAGTGTCTCTTTACGTTCCACCTTTATTTTTCCTCTGTTCCTTTTATAAATTTCCATTTAAGTCTGGCTTGAGCTATCTAGGCCTGCATGTCTTACAGCAGTAGCATATGCTGGTAACTTAGGTAGTGCATTCCGTCTTTTGGACTCATAAGTCATAACTGGCATTAATTTGCCTGAATAGTTGATAAGTTGGGTGTGTGGTGGTTTGATGGGCTTTTTGTTTGTTTGTTTGATGTGTGGACAAGTAGGGGTGTCAAGTAGGAGTGTCCTTAAATAAGTTAGAAGCAATCTTGCATTTGAGGTGTCTGTCATTTCCTTTCTGAATACTTGTCTTGTTGGAACTTCTTCTTGCTTCGTTGAAGAAGGAAATAAAAGCAACTTTGACTTCTTTCTTTGAAGATCAGCTACACTCTCAATTCTATATGAAAGTTTGTTAACATAGAGGGAACATGGGAAGGAAGGAATAGATTTCTGAAAAAAATACCTACAACTGAAAAGGAGTAACTAATGGACTATCATATAGTAGAACATTAATCTTGATTCCTTACATTTCAAATGCTTTTACAACACCTTTTCAACCTCTGTTACAAGGCTTAAAAACCTTTTAGTGGTAGTTGTGAGAGATTGAGAGACATTCTCTGTAGTGAAACTCCAGAAGGCATCTTTGAAGTGGAAAAACAAGTGATATGTCTTTTAACTTTCTAGATGTAAACATTTTAAGAGATCCAGCTTCGTAGAGGAGAATGTATGAGTCACTTTGAAACTAATTTGAAAGTTTTGTATGAAGTCCAGTAATTTATTTAATTCCAGTATAAGCAGATACGCTCTAGTTATGTCTTTCCTTTCAATTTCAATTTTTGCTCCAGGGTTTTGCTAGAATGGCTTCAGAGATTGGGTGTGAGAAAAGTCAAGACTGGGGATCTGCTGGTCTCGGAGGCGTATTTAAGGTGGAGTGGATCCGGAAAGAAAACATTCCTTTTCAGTTTGCCCACCATTTACTCAACCCTTGGAATAACAATAAGAAGGTACAAATAAGCAGAGATGGCCAGGTAATGTTACTCTCTTCTAAAGTCTTCTTTACTTGGTAGAATTGTGTATTATTTATTAGCTTATTTAGCCTTGACATTTATCTCAACTGTCCTCATATATCTGTAAATCTCAATCACAGTTCATTGATGCACATTGTACATTTTGTTAATGCATTACTGTTGAAGTAACGGAGGCTTTTTGATAAAATCAAAGAAGTTTCTTGCTTAATGTGTATTTAAAAGAAAGACTTAAAGCTGGATGCTTCCAAAAATAAAAGCTCTTTGGAACTGGCAACATTGGTTCTGGAGATTTGTTCCCTGTTTGGTTCAGATTTGTTCCCCAAAATAGTCTGTCACACTCAAAGCTATAACTACAAACAGTTATTTGAGTTTCCTGTAAAGACTGAAGAGAATCTTGAGATTTGAGGTAAATAAAGGTTAGGACAGTTCTCCAGTCTGTTAAAACTAAATGCAGTTACCAAAAGCTGGAGGAGAATTGGCACGAGAGTTCCTTGTGGCAATTTCTGCATTCTCCCCAGTTCCTTCCCAGAACACCTCCTTGGTAGGAGATTCTAGAGCTAAACTTTTTGTATCTTCTCACTACTTCTGCAAAACCTGTCCAGTCAGTAAGGATGAGGAAAGGATCATACTGTAAGAGTGAGGAAGGGTGTGTGATGGACTTAACAGTGCTTATGTTGTAAGTGGCTCTTAAGACCTAAAAAGTCTTAACAGCCTTTAAAAAATAACAATCTGGTTTATATTAATCTGTATGATTCCACCAAGAGCCACTGTATTACCTGTGACCTGCCTTTCCAGATTCTCCACCACACTTGATGGAATTAAACTTAAAAGATGTGGAGGATAATGGTCTTTAGTTAATAAGTGACCTGTGGAAGGCACAATGTATATGTCTTCACCAAAAGGGTTTTTGATCATTGGCACAGGCTGCCCAGGGAAGTGGTCGAGTCCCCACCTCTGGAGGTATTTAAAAGATGGGTAGATGAGGTGCTTAGGGACATGGTTTAGTGGTGGGGTGGCAGGGTTAGGTTAATGGTTGGACTTGATGATCTTGAGGGTCTTTTCCAACCTAAATGATTCTATGATTCTATATGGTGCATATGTTCTTGTATATGGCAGTGGTGCATTCACTCAGAATTCTCCTCTTAAGAACTGACATCTTACTGTGAATGAAAAAAGCCCCAAACAACCTGTAGGCCAGGGATGCTTATGAAAAGTTTTATCTCCTCTTGTGCCCTAGTAAAAAATCCTTCCTGTGTGGGGAGTCCTGATATATGTCTCAACAGCAAAAGGAATGAGCTCTTTCAGAAAGACTGAAAGCAGTCACCAGTAACTTCATCGAACAATTTTGTTATAAATAGTTTCTATGTGTTCAGTAGTGGCAGTGCAAATAACTTCTCTAATTTCCTGTTCATTTCTAGGAGCTGGAACCACAAGTTGGAGAGCAGTTGCTACAGCTTTGGGACCATATTCTTGTGGGAGGAAAAAACTCAACTGATTGAGCCTGTCAAGTAATTTGATAGAGGTAGTTATTTCGTGCATTACTTGCGATTTTATGGTAGAGGAAAAGCTTTCTGTATACAATGTATTATTTAGGGTACTGTCTTTCCTTTGTAGTTTGTGGAAGAACAGGTAGACTTAGTACTAAATACTCTCTTCCTTTGATTTTTTTCTTTTTTTAGCTGTGGTTGTTGAAATGTCAGCTATATCCACGAGAACCAGCAGTGTGCCTACAGTATAAAGATATGGAAGAAGGTGGCTCAGCAAGCTCCTGAAGTTGTTCGTCATGCTGTGCAGCTAGCAGTGGAAAAATAAGAGGGAGTTATGTTGGTTTCAGTATTTCCTTGTCTTAACAAATGTCATAACGTTATTCACCAGCCTGTTTTTGACTGAATTATTTTCTTACAGTAGTGTGCAGTTGTTATTTAAAAACATGGTTAAGTTCAAAACTAAGTTTGAAACAATGGACTACATGTAAGTTGTTTGTGGGTTTAAAATAGCACAGCAGACAGTTTAAATACACAGTTTACATTTAAAGCTTTCTCAACACAGTAAAATGTATGAGAGAAACCAGTGTAATAGTAATTAATCAATCTTGCAGTTTGCGTAAAATAAATAAATTGAGAATAGATGTCTCCAAATATATTGGAAGATTCCTTAAGTGTTTGTTCAGCTTCTACATGCACGGTGCGAGAGAGCAGGATATAGTCATACAAACAACTGGGCCGCTGGAGAATGTAAAATTTTCATTTAAATACGTAAGTGAAAGGAGTATGAGACTTTTGAGAGTGGATTGATTCAGTGGTGTTTCCAATTTCAGTTATTTTTCTCATTTATAAGGTACTCACACTTTGGCAGGTCGAAACAGTCTTTCAGAGGCCTGCTGCCAAATAGTACTTGAATAGTTCACTAACTTGGGCATTATTAGAAGATTTTTATTTCTTTCAAAAAAAAAAAAAAAATCACCTGTACAGCTTTCTTCATCTTTCAATGCACTTCTTTGTGTGTTTGGGCCCCTCGCTACAAGAAAGTTGTTGTGTTGCTGGACCATGTCCAGAGGAGAGCCACAAAGCTGGTGAGGGGTCTGGAGCACAAGTCGTACAAGGAGTGGCTGAGGGAACTGGGGTTAATTAGTCTGGAGAAGAGGAGGCTGAGGGGAGACCTGATCGCCCTCTACAACTGCCTGACAGGGGGCTGTAGTGAGATGGGGGTCGGCCTCTTCTCCCTGGTAACGGAGCATAGGACAAGGGGCAATGGTCTGAAGTTGCACCAGGGCAGGTTTAGGCTAGACATTAGGAAAAACTTCTTCACAGAAAGGGTTGTCAGGATCTGGAACGGGCTGCCCAGGGAGGTGGTGGAGGCCCCATCCCTGGAAACATTCAAGGCCAGGTTGGACGGGGCTCTGAGCAGCCTGATCTAGTTAGCGGTGTCCCTGCTCACTGCAGGGGGGTTGGACTAAATGACCTCTAGGGGTCCCTTCCAACCCAAAACATTCTATGATTGTAGGATTCTATGAATGTTTTGGAAAAGCGGTGCTTTGAACCCTCAAGCACATTCCAGTTTCCTGCCCCCTGTGTATTGACGCTCTTTGTTTTCACTCTGCTCTTTGTATCCTCCTGCTCTCCAAAGAGGGCGTTATCTTGGTAGCCATGCGTGTGATGATACCAGCAGTGTCATCAGCCTGTGGAAGAACTCCAGCACCAGGATTCTTAGACACACCCAACCTGCCTGGTAATGGCTGAATGTGATTATACCTGTAGTGAAAATTAAAGCATTGTGAAGGGCAAGGAGGTGAATCTCCCTGAAAAACACTGGGGCAGCAAGAGCTTGCAATCCACAGAATCCTTGTATCTGTGATGACAAATGGGACAAGTGGCCCATCACCATCTTCTGTGCAAGGGTAAAAATCCCAGCTTGGATGCTGTCTGCCACGAGTTGATTCACTCTGCTTTAGAGTAAATGAAGTTCTTGCAATCTAGACAGTTCTCAACAAACAGTAGGGTGAGGAGGGAGGGAACAGAAACAGGGATATGGATGATGGCCACAGGTTTGCAAAGTTTGTTCATACGTGAGCAAAGCTTACCTGAGCAGTGCTGACTCAGGACAGCTCTAGTCGTGTTCCTCAAGACATGTAGTAGCTGTAGTAGCTTTGCCAGTGGCTTGTGAGAACAGGCTAAGGTGTGCTGCCTCCTCAGGAATATATTGCTGAAAATAAGGTAAAGGTGGCAAGCTGTTCTGCCACAGAGTTTAGTTCGGTTCCTTTCTCTAGGAACCAAACTTTGTTATTTTTTTTTGTTAAATATTTTATTTCTTAAATATTTTGTAGCCTAAAATTGAATATTTGTTGCAACTATTCCTTTCAATATTTGCTTTTTTGCATTTTTTTTTGCCACTATTGAACCGGTATAATTTCTGCTCCATCATCACAACAACTACAAAGACCTTTCCTCCAGTGCTTGTGGGTTAAATTTCCACTGTGGAATTTTTTGCAGCTTCCATTTTAAATGCCTGATACTGGCTGTTGTCAAAATGAAATCATAGCTCATTCCTGGCAGGACAATTCCTCTGGGTTGTGGGTTGGATCAGTTCATAGTTACCCCTAGGTGCTTTGTCTTTAAAACGAATTAGAGTGGTTTCTGCAGCTACTGAATTTTTAGGGTTTTTTTCTTGTATGGAGCTGAAGCGATTGTTCCAGAGCAGCCACCTGCTAGATGTATTCAGTCATGGCTTTTACTATCTGAATAATATTAGCAGTTTGTCTCCTGCTGCTCTACATCTTTCTACACTCTTTCCTTCCCTGTGGATTATACTGTGTTGCTTTCAGCCATCGCTGCTGCTATCTTGCTCCTCTCTCTGTTGCATCTTCTAACAGGTACCACAGTGCAGAAAGGAGGTGGTGCTGCTCTGGATTAAAAGCTTTATTTGTTGTTATGATTCTTTTGGCAGATGTTGAAAGGGTCACCTAAAGCACGAGTAGAGGTCTGGCTCTGAAGACAAATCAGTTCTCAGGAAAGCAGATGGAGGGAATACCTTGCATCACGTTAGCGAGTAAGGAGTCCTGAAAATACTAAAAAGCATGGCACATAGCTGAATCAGACAATTCAGAAAGGAGGCTGTATTTTTATTCGTGTCAAGCCCAGAAGGAGTTTTAAAGCTAATTCCATACCATGAGGGTGTGAAATTACTATTTTTTTTGTCTTGTGTTGTATAGTGCACAGCTCTGAAATTTGCAGCCTGGTCTTGTATCTTTGCCTATGTGAGTGGGGACTTGGCACTTGGTGCTGTTGATGTATGAGCAAAGGTAGTAGCCCAAGGCTCTTAAATAATGTACCATTCTGTTCTATCTATAGGGGATATCTGGTGAAGCCTAGCAGCGATCAAATGAGATTAAGGAACAAAACACAATTGCCAAAATTGCTCCTATATGAGGGTGTTCTGGACGCTGGCAGAACTTGAGAGTGAAATTATGTGACACGTATAAAATAGATTTAATGTCTTATGCTCTTGTAAAACATCTTAATAATCTTTTCAAAAGCAAGCTGTGCAGGAAAGGGTACTGACTCTCTGTGGGCTGACAACCTTGCTGTGAATTTTAGCTTATGGTGTGTCCCGTCAAAATAAGAGAACAAACCTTCCTTTTTTGATTGTTTCATGGCTCTGTTCAGATTAAGGAACTCTTCTTGTACTCATGCATTCTGTATTAGTTTAAGTGCAGTTACTAACGAAGAAATCAGTCCTGCAACTCAGCAAGGGTAGCATTTCAATGGCTGCTGCTTTCAGCAGCTTAGTTACTGCTGAGTTTTAATATGCCCTAAACCCGTATTAACTGAGGTGTCATCACTGTAAGAAAATTACTGTGCTCTATCCACAGCTTTTATATGGAAAAGGGATGTACCTTTTATTCTAGAACAGGCATAGGGACTTGGTAAGAAGTACCGATCTAGGAGAGAGCGAAAAAAGAAGGGCCACAGGACACCTTACAAACAGGCTGTGAAACTTCCAAGAGACCCATGAATGGACGCTCTAGCTTAATTTTTCCTGGTTACCAACGTTGGTTGAATTCATAGAATCATAGAATCGCTTTGGTTGGAAAAGACCTTTAAGATCATAGAATCCAACCTTTAACCTAACCTTGCCATCCCACCACTAAACCATGGCCCTAAGCACCTCATCTATCCTTCTTTTAAACACCTCCAGGGATGAGGACTCAACCACCTCCCTGGGCAGCCCATT